GGTTTTTGGAGATTTTGTCAGGTTTAGCTCACTTTTGGGTACAAATTTGTCCCCAAAATATGGTTAAGTAGGTACACACACACACACACACACATTTCAATAGCTTCTATCCTGAATCTATAGCTAGTTATGTTTTTATACTGACAATATATATATATTCTTTTCTTCATTCAGCCTTATTTCAGATGTGGCTGGATGTGGAGCTAAAGTCTTCAATAAGATAATTTGTAAATCTCTATGGCTCTCCTCTTGTTGCTAATAATAATACATCAAGTTTACCATGGCCCGCTTTTCCATCACATCGACGTGTCTTTGCTGGTTGCTGGGGATGACAGCTGTTTCAACAAGGGATGACACCTGTACCTGGGACAAGCGCTGGCCAATTTGAGTGTGAGTTAAATCCCGAGCCGTGCCTCTGACGTAAATACTCCACGGACTAGAGCGCGGTGGGCGGGTCGTTACGGATCGAGTTGTAGATCCACGGCGAGAGACTATTGATGTCTAGTGGAACTGACGCGCACCGGTTCAAAGTGAGTACACATGTATGCAAAGAAAATGTGTTATTATACACTATTTAGGCTAAAATGGTTGTTACAGATATTAAAGTAGGGACCAAATAGCAAGTCAATCGAGATCGAAAATGTTAGGTTTAGTAGCGGAAGCATAGCCTACTGTTTAAAGTTATTCTAATCATTTGACGTGGGAATCGCGTGATTAAGACTCGTTTTTTGCATGGATGTTTTTTTTAAATATAATCCTAAATGTTCTGCTTTATAACTTCTGACAACAAAATGTTATTCTTTATGCAAATTCATTACTGTTCCTTCCCTTTCCAAATATTTCCCTAGAAATATTTGGGAAAAAATGTTTTCAGATGAATCTCTGCAGAGAATTAAATTTCAACTGCTTATAGGCTAGTTCTGGTAGATTTCGCGTGCGTCAGTCAAATCTAGTCTACTGAATGAGAGTTTTTTTGGTCTCTCTTGTAAACGTAATGTGCATAAAGTCTTTATAAGACAGAGATCATGGGCCCTTTGCGCGCAGTGCTATCTGTGTCGCCAAGAGGATTTTGCATTGATGGCAAAATGACTTCATAACTGCCGTTTAGCATGCTTTCTGCTTTGCTGGTCAGTGAGCTTTGGGTTGGATTCGTCTTCAAGTTATGTCATATTTGTAATTTTATGGTGATAAAACAGACCATAATGGCATAATAGCAACATTTTAGCCAGTCAGGGTGCGAATTATGGGGAGTTAGTCAAAATCACGTTGATGGGGTCTTAAAAAATGCTTTAATATTTATATACACGTTACTATGTAAGTTTTTGTTTGGATAACCACGAAGTTTCACAGATGCTATGCTTGTCAGATTATATCACGGTCTCTGCCAGAATATTTTTGTGAGTTTGCCTGTCTGTGCTCTCTCTTTCTCCCCCCTTGTGCTTTTCCCTCTTACCTTCTGTGTTCTCTCTCTCTACTCTCGGTAGTCTTACCTCTCATCTCAATGTATAGGCCTACACGCATATGTGTATTACTTCTTGGGGTTCAAATGGTGAAGTATGGTGGGGGCTTGTCCGACCCAGGTTATTGAGTTCGGTCTGTCCTTTTGCTCAAGAGTTGAGGTATCCTTTTTCCAGATGTGCTCCTAATATGGTCAGAACTTCCTGCCCATGTTCCCATTTTGTATAAATTATATGTAATCTACATCCTATGGGCTCTAGAGGTATCAGGAAGGAACCCCCTTTGTTTGCTAGACATTCCTATATGATGTAGTGTACAATTCTTGTTGGATAAACCACTGCACCACCGCAATGCAACTATATAACAGGGCTCTCAAGTCTCACGCATTCACCGTGAGACACGCATTTCAACCAGTTCACACGCTCTCACGCCACACCTTGTATTTCTCACGCTGAGAAGTAAGGGATAACTTGTCCCGCTATATATACAATTAATAGACGAGGCGCAGGCATACGGAGGAAAGTGAAATGCCACCTACCAGCCAATCAGAAATTAGAATGCTGTTGTTTCCGCGTAAATAAGGTGATCCCGCTGCAAGCAAGCACGTTCGTTACTAAGCAACATGGATGCGCGCGCACACGGAACGTAAGTTCAAAGAGCAAGATCCGATGAATGCTGTAGGTAACCCCTTCATTTTTTTAGCATTTTAATTTTACGATTCCTGGACGAAATCACTTACTTACCTGTGATCAAAGATAGTGAGACCTGATGTTGGGAAGCCAAATTCGTGCTAAATTATTATTGATGCAGTCTAAAACTCTAACTTTACAACCAGGTAAGTCTGATAAAAGACATATTCATCCAAATGACATACATCTGCAGGGCAAGTTCTGCAATCCTACTGTATGTGTACAGTATTTACAATGAGTACTGCTGTTCAGTTGACTCGTTTGTGGCTAAATCTTTTTTATTTTTGATAGGTGAGCGTGATTTCACCAGGTACAACATGTTCCTGGATCAACATTCTTGTTGATCCTGGAACAGCATTCCAATCAACCAATCAGAATTGAGGGATAACTTTTCAGGAAATATCTGTTTTAGGCTTACGATCAGGGTTAGGTGCTTCTACACCCTTGTTAATCAGCTATCATTTCACACTGATTTTAGGAATAAATTATGGGTAGGGTTAAGTTTAGGGGTAGGGATTGGGTTTAGTCTATATTTTTGGACAGTAATGTTGATCCAGGATCAACAAATGATGTTGATCCAGGAACATGTCTTACTTGGCAAAATCACGGTGACCATTTTTGATACATTTGTATTTTTGAAATGCATAAATCTATTCAGTCTTTTATCAGATTTACCAGTTGTTATAATTTCTATTTGAGCTGGTCAATTATGAGCAATAGGTCCAATTTAACTGCTAGCAAAAACTTGAGATAATTGGGTGCTGCAAATATTTGAGTGGCCCCTCCCCTTTTACTGACTCCTCCCATTTGTGTGCCCCCTCCCCTTTGTATGGCCCCTCCCCTAACAGATGTAATCTCACTCCAAACTTTTGCTATAACTTGAGAGCCCTGTATATAATGTATGGATGTAATAATAAACTTTGAAGAAGTTTGTGAACAGACAATTGGCTTCATGTTCATAATTCTTTCCATGGGCCCATGCAAGGACTGAGAATAGTCTGACGGCATCGAAAGATAAAGAGCTAAGATATTCTTAACAATGCTAATAACACGAGTTGCGTTCGGCTAGGAGGTGGTAACCATAGCAACAGTTCGCTGTTCAAGCGCTTTCCTTACGTCGACGAAATGTATATCATTTATCTTATTATAGGTTTACACATTACAAATGTATCTAAAAACCTTTAGTATTTTGGTTTATAAACTTGGCTATAACTACTGTTAACTCACTTTTTAGTGGGTGACAAAAGACAACTTCGACCTATTAAACATCAAATTAAGGTAAATCCTTAAAAACTATTGAAAGACTTTGACTTTTGTGACGTTTTAAAGAACTAGATATTCTTTATTCAAGCCAGTAGAGACTGGATCTCTCTATACAAAGAGTATTATGATAGAGCTTGGCCTATGTGAAAAGTTAGCCTATTTCTTTGTTGGAAAAAAATAGCCTTCTGGTAAGGTGTTATGTGATGTTTGTTGTCATACAGCAAAAATATACAACACTAGACATATTAGGTAGTACAAGTTCTGTACAGATATAGAGATATATTTATGTTGTCCTTTAGAATGGCAAGTTATTCCTGTCAAATGCTCATTCATTAACATTTCTCACTTATTTGCTTCATTTAGGCAGTAGGATTCCACATCTGACTTGCAGAGTATCATGCAGCATCACAATGTGACTCACACTCCTCATTCACAGCATGAATAAATATAGATTTTCAGTATTCTGTCACAGAAACGTTCACAAATTATTTCCATAACCATTTTATTTTTGAGATAATTTAGTTTGAAAGTAGTGTGTCACCATCCGGATGTGTGGAGGCAGGCAGGACGACAAGGATTCCAATAATGACAT